TTTCTACGGCTAATCTTATTTCTTACAGAACAAATATATAACAAACGAATTTAGTAAGTTTATATGAATGTATATATTGACTTTGCACTCGAACGGACGGTCTTTCGTCGGAGTTTTTCCTGTTTATATGACGAGAAAGAGAAGAAGAATGAGAACTGCACTCCAATAATGATCAGAGAGCGTGTTACATAGTTATAGCAAACAAGCTGAAAAGTCGTTTTGCATTCCACTTTTTTTTTTCTTAGCCTTTTTTTTTATTTGCGAGCGCATTCCATTCCGTTCTTTGTGTGTCTCAGATGAATTATGGATTGAACGCAACTACGAACGTTCTCTGCACAATATATGATAAGAGTATAGGAAAAAGAGAAAGAAGACGGTCGATGCACACAAGAGAAAGAGAAGAATTTTTTTTTCTATAACAGTAGAAAAGTGGAAACAAAACGGCGACATCGAAGAGAGGAAAAAAAAGAGCGGCACGTCATTTCATCTGCTTCTTTTGCTTGTTTCAGTAGCACACAGCATTGGCCATGGTCATGAACATAGAACAGCAGGCAACTACTGCTCCAACAACCACAACAACCAATTTAGTGGTAAAAAAATAATATTATTTTTGTTACGATGTTTTCATTTTTTTTTGCCAATGCTGTCTTAGATGTCATTGTTTAATTATTTATTTAATGAATATATATCTGTTTTTCTTCATAACTTGATTATATACTAAGTATATTTAATAAGACTTTTTTTTTGCGTTCTAAAGAGTAATAATTTTGTTTTCAAACATATTGAAGTTTTATATTAAGGTCATATATTCGTATGTTAATCTATATAAAGAATCTATAATCCATTTGTTTATCGTTTGGTATTCTATTCTCCTTGGATATATAACTCTCATGTGTTCTTGCTTATATCAGCTTGAATAACAATATTAAAAAAATATTTAATTTTAGAATCATAGGATTCCTTTCAATAGAATAAATATCATTCAAAACTGCTACTAAGAGCATATTTATCCAAGTAAATTATTATGTACTTGAAAGTTTCCTTTGTTCTGATAATAACCTTGATTGGAAAAACATGTAAATTCTGTTAGTTTGTTAATTGATTTATTATAAAGTTGACTATGAATCAAAATACTCGCATAGTCAGACATCAGCCATCGAAAACATATATATATATTCTTGTATAAAACTTCTGTTGAATAGATAATGCGTAATATAAATTCTCAAATCATAAAACTAACAAAAAACTTTAGAATATAAGTGAATACAAGTTATTTATATTGCTGGAGGTGATTCTTAGTTTCTCTTTGTAAAACTACCTTGAAAATCAAATCTAACGGCGAGTAATATTATGAAAATAAAAAAAACAAACTTTCTTTTTTTTTTTCAATGAATATTTATAATTAACAACGATGATCAATAGAATATTGAGATCATGTAAAGAATTTTAATTTTAATTTCTGATTTAGAATTTATGCTACTATTTTTGGATCGATTTCCTATGAGTTTCTCATTTGTACTAAACAATAAAAAGGAAGCAACTGGGTTTAATCAAATGTCTATAATCGAGTCTGACTGTCATTTCTGGCATTTTTGTTTTTTTTTTATAGAATTAAATCAAGATAAAAAATAATAGAATTAATAAATAAAATAAGAACAATAACTAGATGTACAAACCCTCAATGATTTATTTTATTTTATTTTAGTTTTTTTTTTGTCCATTAATTAAATGTGATTATCTCCGATATCATCGGATATAATACTTGAAATTCTATAGATTGTCTTCATTTAGAATAGAATGAATAGTTTATAATTAATATCTATTCTACAAACATATATATATATATACATATATATATCATTCGTATGTTTTATTTTTAATTTATACTGTTATTGACAATTGTCAATATCCCGATTGCATTGTTATGGGTAGTATACGAACTATACGAACACACATATATATATACATATATACGCGGCATATTAGTTGATTGATTGATGATAGTCCTTCGTATGAAATGATTGTATATAAATGTGGGGTCGTCCAATTAGGTGTTTGTCTTGCTCTCTTTTTCACGCATAGAAAAACCATTATTGCCCTTTTCCAGATGAGTCAGTTTTTTCTTCTTGGGCGTTTTTTTTTGTGTTGATGATGTTGCTCTATGACATGATCCTCTCTGCATGTGAGTATACCCGTATGCATCGCCTTGTATATCATGTTCTGTTGTTCGCTACATCATCTGCATTATATTTAAAGGATTATTGGCAAGAAAAGAAGTATATTCGCTTCGTTTTGCTATAGGAAAGGAAAGGACACAAAAAGAGAGAGAATTCGCAAACGAGACATCCTAGTAAATAATACTGACATAGAAAAAAGAGAGAGCAATCGTCGCTCAATACATATACATATGCCAGTCTATTTTTTTCTTTGTCTCTCTTTCTCTATTCGCTTTTACCTTCACTAAGTGTAAAGAAAGAACTAAATTGTCTATACTCAATGAAATGTGCGTACACGACATTGTCGATCATTTTTGCTGCATTTAAAATATCAACGTTGCAGTTTATTCTACTTGTTCGAATAGATGACCCACTCGAAATCAAGCTCATCAACAGTAAGTGACAATAGCTAATTTAATGCACGCATGCATGCATTTGTATATCATCGCATATGTCTCTCAATATAATCATCTTGATGGAATTTGGACTTATTTATTAGGTTTCTCTTTACAATTGAAAGTGTGCCATTGATATAATTGATCCTATCGTGAGGTATAGATGAGAATATTTATATTTCTAAGTAAAATATTCTTTTTTAACCTCCCTGCCTTTCGATTTTTTCCTACATATCTAATTGAATGGAAGAGAAACGATCGTTCGATCAATAGACTTTTTTTCCTGACTATAACCAAATAATAAAGAAAGAGGTTGTAATGAAATTATGTGGGTTATTGCTTGCTAGTCATTATTTCCTCTCTTCATCATCACGCTGTATTGTAGTCTTCATCATCATGCTTCATTTTTTGACTCCCACTTCAATTGTTATTTTAGTAACTGTTCGATGCAACCGGAACATCGTTCCTAAGGTTCTTAACAATAATTCTTTAATCCAACAGGGAAGTTTTAATGCAAAGAAAAAAAATAGATAAAAAAAAAAAAGACGAAGAACCAAAACGATGAAGAAAAAATCGTCCTGCTACTAGCCATTGCTTGTGTTGTATCAACGGATGATGACGGATGATTATTAACGATGTTTCAAAGCGTTAAGCAACATCGCTATTCGAATAGTCGAAGAACGGAACGATAGAGAAAAACTATTTGTTTTTCATCCACTGCTTTTCTTTTTTTCATGTCAGATCGTCTCTGATTACGCTTGCCAAGATAATAAAACAACTATTGTCATGTATTTTTCACTAACTAACTAACTGACGAATAATCTTGTCTGGCATACGAATATGTCTTCTATATCAACAAAAGAAAATATTAGAGTATCAATAACCCGTCCATCAACAATCAAACTCTCTTCATTATCTGAAACTAACAACCCATATCATCATCATTATCAAGTGAGAATAAGTGCACATATATATACCTATATATATATGTGTGTATGTATACTTCGTTGGTTATTAAAATATAAGTATAGATTGAACTCTCGAGATTCTGGACAATTATGAAATAGATGTACATATGGGTGATACGTTACTTGATATAGTTTTCACTTTTATTACATCACACACTCGAGTATACTCACACCTATAATAGAACATTTTGATGACTTCTTTTTTATTATTGTCAATATATGAGTAAAAATGAGTTAACGTGAAAATGAAGTCTTATTATATATATATATATATGTGTGTGTGTGTATACACATTGATTTGTACAAAAAAAAGAAATTACAAAGCTTTTAAACGCGATCTATTTAATGAGTTCAACAATAGTGTTGTTTTCATGAGCATATCACTAATTCTATTATATGAGAATAGTACGAGAAAAAGACTATAGTCTCATCATTGTCATTTGTTTTCTGTTCGCATACAACGTAGAAAAAATATTTCCCATGACGATGTCCATGCATAGTTGTATGTGCACGCATCACATTTGCATTTTGCATCTCTTAATACTTATATATATATATATATATATATATATATATATATTTGAGTGACGAAATAGAGCGACGAGTCAGTTGAGATTTTCAATGGCTCTTCAAAATAGAAAAAAAAACGCTCTCGATAAAAAAAAAGCAGCAATCTTCGTCATGTACTTATAAATAATTGTTCTTAAATCGAAAAAAAAGAAAAAGAATACCAAACAAACATTTTCTTTTCTATATATCAATCTTTTATCTCGAATACCAACAAAAAAAAACCTAAAATGATTGATTTTTTTCTCTTGTATTTTTGTCGTTACAACTCATTATCATACAATTGAATATTTAACATTTTGTTTCCTTCATTTTTCGGAGACAGATGTTGCATCCTTCTATCGTCTTTTAGCATCGGCAGCTTTTTTTTTTTTTTGCTTTCTATCTTTCTCATTCTGTTAGTCGAGCCAGATGTTACACATGCATTTAGTTCAATTTCTTCTTTATGGTAAAAAAAAAAGAAAAAAAAACGGAAATGCACGCTTTACTAGCAAGAAAAAAAGTGCGTCCTAACAAAGAAGAGAACGAATGAAGAATACAAAAATAACACGGGCATCAGAAAAAAAATAGTGAAGCGTGTACACTAGTCGCGTCCACACGCCGTTGATTCTTTGTCTGTCTGGTTGGTTAAGGAGCGATGCTGCCACAATTTTTCAGTCTTGCTTTTCTTTTTTTTTTTCTCTCTCTCCTTCTTGTTACAGTGATTGTTTGCTTCTAGAGTTGCATATATTAAGACGTACATTTCTCTTCTTTTTATTCATCATATTTTAATCTTTTCTTTTCACTACCTACGAACACGAGAGAAGCGTGCGAAAAAGAAACCCACAAATGTCGATTATTTCATTCCGTACAAAATGACTGTGGTATGTGGAAAATTTTTTTAATTCATATTTCTAATCCGATAATTTAACATTTTCTTCTTTTTTGTTTTGTTTCTTAATCAGTCAAAAGAACTAAAATACATGTTGATCTCGTTCTTTTTGCTTTATTTTTATGCGAAGGACAATATTTGTTAGTTTTCATTTACAAGTTGTTTTAACCGTCGGTCATATATCCGTTTTTTTTTTCTTTTCTTATAAATACTTATTACTTTAGCTCTTATATTATAGTCTACTCAATCAATCAATCGGAGATATATGATGAACGAATTTAGATAGACGAGAGAAAGAACATATAAGATAAAGGAAAGGACCCATCATGATGGGTTCAATTAGTAACCATGCTGTTTCTATTGATTGTTTGTTCTGTTTTCTTTTTTCTACTACGACTTTTCTTTATCCTGCTGTGTTAGTTGTATTTTTGGGGAATGTTCCTCTTCTCCTTTGCTTGTTGGCTAGTACTGCAACATACATAAATATACACAATCAAAGAATATATATATATATATATTTTTTGTATATATATATAACGAGAGGAAAAAAAGAAAAAGGAGATACTGGGTGTATCAGCATAAAGGAAAATCGAGAATTATCTTGATTATGCACTAGTTTCTTCTACTGCTTTTCTTTCATCTTTCTCTTCTCTTTCTCTCTCTCTTTCTTTGAGAGTGTCGTGTCATTCACTACTATCTTATAACGACGACACAACGTGGCCTTTAGTAGCCAGTATATCTTGATTTAAAACCGATATTTTCATCCAAGAGAAGATTGCTGTTATGGGTCGACATTTGTCGAATAAAGTTCGATGCACCTTCGTGAGTAATATTAAAATAGAACAAACAATAATAGTAACAAGTTATAGTCTTTTGAGAACTACTATAGTCTACAAATTCGAAAAATCATTTGAGACCTTGTTATGCCGATTAATGATAAATGATTGCCTTCTTTCTTTCCCTTTCTTGTTAAATAATAAATAAGGAAATGGTGTTATTCAGGAGTTTTTTTTCATCGATAATTTCTGATTTGTTTACTCATTTGATATGGCTGGATAAAAGATTTACAGACAGGTCAATGGGGAAGTTACTGATGAATTGGCATGAGAATAAATATGTGTAAGATAAGAATGAATATGTCGGAGATTTTTTTTCTTCTTCTTCTTCTTCTTGATCGTCTTCGTAGATCTGTTTTATAGGTTAGGTCAAGAAAAAAACTAATAGAAAAATGAGTGTCAGAGAATGAAGATCAATTACGTCTACCGAGATGTTTGTGCGCGTTGACGTATATAGTAAAAGAAAGTTGATTATTGCATTGATTGTCAGATTGCATAATCAAGTAACAATGTTCTTTTTTCATTGACACAGTCGCTTGTTATAGTACTTATGATATATCAATCTTGATTATAAGTAGAACAAGAATAAATTTGAATATAAAAGACGAAAGAAAAAATATAACAAAACAAAAACGAATTGAAATTTTATTGTTATAATATCATAAATGATGTAATTGGAAAAAAAACTTAAATTAATTTCATTTTCTAGTCTGATGGAAATTCGGGCTTTTTACGAGCAGCGCGAGCAGGAAATCTCGAGAAGGTTTTGGAATACCTTCGTTCATCAATTGATATAAATACTAGTAATGCTGTACGTAAACTTTTTATTCTCTACCTGTTCAAAAGACAAATAAAATTTTGTTGTTTTTCCTTCTTTTTCGTTCAGAATGGATTAAATGCACTACATTTAGCATCAAAGTATGTTGAAGAATTTTTTAATTTTTTTTTCTATTTCAATTTAATCATATTTCATTTCATCAAGGGAGGGTCATGTAAATATTGTTCAAGAACTTCTTTCACGTGGTGCCAATGTCAATGCAGCAACGAAGGTCTTTAATAACTATATCAATAATAATAATTATTTATTAATCATATCTTATTTTGTTTATATAGAAAGGAAATACAGCTCTTCATATTGCATCATTAGCTGGTCAAGAAGAAGTTGTTAAACTTTTAGTTAAACATAATGCTAATATTAATTGTCAATCACAAAATGGATTCTCTCCTTTGTATATGGCTGCACGTATGTTTATATTTAACATAGTGGAATACCAAACAAAAATAAAATCATATAATCTTTAATTTGTAGAAGAGAATCATATCGAAGTTGTTAAATTCCTGCTCGCTAATGGCGCTAATCAAAGTTTAGCAACTGAGGTAGCCTTTCGTTTTCTTTTGTTGATTTTTTTTTGTTCAAAGAAGAATTTTGTTTATATTTAGGATGGATTTACACCTTTGGCGGTTAGTCTTCAACAAGGCCATGAGAAAGTTGTTGCTATACTCTTAGAAAATGATTCAAAAGGTTCGAAAGTTCGTCTACCGGCATTACATATAGCAGCAAAAAAAAATGATACAAAGGCAGCCGCCTTATTATTACAAGGCGATAATCAACCAGATCTTAACTACAAGGTTTGTACATTTTTAAAACGAAAAATTATAAAATTTTATTTCTATAAAAAAAACACTTATGAAAATCAATAGGGAGGAGGTTTTGTTAATTGTACAACCAAGGTTTGTTTCTTAAATGTCTAGATGGTGTCTGTTATGTCGTTGATTATTTTCTATTTGATGGTGGTGGAAATTATTGTGTTGTTTTATTTCGTCTTCGTCTTCGTATTTATTTGTTTTTTTTTTCTTTCAGCTTGGCAGAGTAAGCATTTATATATACATATACATATAATTATCACACTACTAATAATATAAATAGTTAGTTACAGAACAAATAAAAAAAAACCACCAACACAGTTATTTTTTTGTGTAATAAAAAAAACCTGTATAGATTAATTTGCATGATTATATTCAGAAAAAAAAATAAAGAAATTAATTAAATTTAAATATGATGATTGTATTTTTTTTTTCTTCTAGTCTGGTTTTACTCCATTACATATAGCTGCTCATTATGGAAATTTAGAAGTTGCACAATTATTAATTAGTCGTGGTGCCGATGTCAATTATGCAGCAAGTGTAAGAGACTATATAGAATTTTTTTTTTTTCGTCTATTTGAGCTAAATATATACTTGAAGAGAAAATGAAATAACACTTGAGACTTGAAGTGTATATATTGAATTATTTTTATTTTTATTTTTTTTTTGGACGATGTTTTTATTGATTCATTCATTTCTATTTGTATTCGTACGAAAAAAGATAAATGAAAATGAAAATTAGGTAATATAGAAATGTATGGATGTGCTTGAGGCTATTTCAGACATTCATCAGAATGTTGCCTATAGGATATAGCTGATCTTAATTTTTAATAAGCTAAATCTATCTGCTAGGAAGGAATGAATAACGGATGATCGAAAAATAATTAGACAATATGTTTATTCAGTTTTTTTGCAGTCTTTTTTTTCAAGAAGCTTGCAGATTGAGTTACAATCAAAATTTTGTGTTCTTTTTGCATATGAGTTCAACATTTTTTTTTTGTAAGACTTCTGACTGAAGAATTATGAATTGATGTATTACAGGCGTGAAAATTAAGTTTACACAGAGAAAATTGTCTAAATTAACACAGTGTACCTTACTCGAAATACTTACTATTGACAAATGACTTGTAGAAAACTAATTATCAGTATACTATTTTATAGAAGAATGTTTGTTCTTTCATTTGCTTCTACTATGAGAAATTTTTAATGCATTAAAATTTAATTTATCGGCTTCTAAAAGATCATTTTAGAAGTTTCTAAATCAGAATTCTTATAAAAGTTTGAAGCTTGCCTTCGCAAAAAAAAACATAAAATTCTAATTCTATTCTAATATATAGGCTCCTTAAAAAGGCTGAATGATGAATGAATATTTTATCTAATTATTTATCGATTACTCGTTATTATAAAGAAAAGAACAAAGATGATGAATACTGTCTTAATGCTTTTTTCTTTCTTCTAGCAAAATATAACGCCACTTCATGTAGCATCTAAATGGGGCAAAGAAAATATAGTACGACTATTACTTGAAAAAGGTGCACAAATTGATGTTAAAACAAAGGATGGATTAAGTAAGTTGAATGAATGTTTTGAACATAGAAAAGAAAAAAGTTAATGAGGAAACATACCCAACTATCGGTTGTCATTCAACTACATATTGTCGCTATGACTAGGTCTCGATGAGATTAAGCCAAGCATAAAAAGATTCGACTTCAAATTTTGCCTATAGGCACGTTTACTAGTCATCAGATAATTCTGGAAACTTCAACAATAATGAACATGTCTTTATTAAGATACTTAATTGGCAAAAAGAAACAGTGGTTTACGACAGGGACACACAATAATCAAGTCTATTTAAGAATTGAATATCTTGAAAAAGATATGCTCATGTTCGTTAGAACTTTGAAGTCTATCAGACTCTGTGCGTAAGATAGACTCCATTGAAATATGAAAAAATTCAAAAAGATATATCTTTTCAGGCTTTCTGTCGAGAGTTATGCATTTTATGAGATCTTTATCCTCTAGAATTGGTATATACCAACAAATTGAATGACAATATTTCGTCCATAAACGAATCTTTTGGACAGTGGAATGTCCTAAAAATTTCATCGGAAAAGAATATTTTTTTTCTCGAGATATAAATGTCCCAAAACTTATTCATATTCTACAAAAGATGTTAGAATTTCTATTTTTTGAAACTTTGATATTTAATAGGAAGGAAATATTCTTTTGAACTGGAATTTTCAGAGCATTTTAATGACAAAGAAACCTATATGTAGACAGAAGATTAGGTCGAAATACTGTCATTCGTTTTGTTAGTATATGAAATGTTGATAACTCTGAATAGAAGATCTCAAGGGACTTCTTCTTTTGAGACTTTCTGTATCTCACTGAAGTCTACTTTGTATATAGAGTCCCAAGAGAAAGGTGATTCATCAGTTGAAAACGTTTTCTCGGTAGTAAAAGTTTCATTTAAATGGTGTGATAACTCTTTATCAGTCGGCCATCGATCCGAATTCTTTTAAGTTTGTCTTAGTTCCACTGAGGCCTACTCATAGTTATCATATGAAATCGAACGATATCCAACAGTTATGTATATTCTCTTGTGTAAGACAACATGGTATTATTGATTCTTTCCAGCACCTCTTCATTGTGCTGCTCGATCTGGTCACGAACAAGTTGTTGATTTATTACTTGAAAATGGTGCTCCATTTGGCGCAAAAACAAAAAATGGTCTCTCAGCACTTCATATGGGTAAATAAGTTTAGATAAAAAACAATATTGCTTTTTTATTATATTCATTATTGCTATATTTAGCTGCTCAAGGTGATCATGTTGATGCTGCACGTATTTTACTTTATTATAAATCTTCACTTGTCGATGATGTTAGCTCGGTTAGTTTTATAGATTTATATATATTTAGAATTCAAATCATTTTTTTTTCTTTTTAAAGGATTATCTTTCGCCGTTACATGTTGCATCGCATTGTGGTAATTATAATGTCGCTAAAGTCCTATGTGAACGTAATGCTGATGTTAATGCCAAAGCATTAAATGGTTTTTCATGTTTACATATCGCATGTAAAAAAAATCGTCTAAAACTTGTTGAACTATTAATATCAAATGGTGCCGATTTAGAAGCTAAAACAGAATCGGGTTTAACTTGTTTACATGTTGCATCATTTGTTGGTAGTCATGATATTGTTGTTTATTTATTACAACATGGTGCAAATATAAATGCAACAACAGTACGTGGTGAAACACCATTACATTTAGCAACACGTAATAATCAAGTTGAAATTGTTCAAACATTACTTCATTATGGTGCATCAGTTGATATGAAAGCTAAAGAAGCACAAACATGTTTACATTTAGCAACACGTTTGGGTAATATTGACATTGTTAATTTATTATTAAAAGCTAATGCTAATGTTGATAATACAACAAAAGATGGATATTCAAGTTTACACATAGCAGCTAAAGAAGGACATGAAGAAATTGCTAGTTTATTAATTGATCATGGAGCTAATTTAAATTTATTTACTAAAGTAAAAAAACAAACTTTTTTTTTCATATTTTTTTCTTCATTTTCTATTTCTACTTATTTGTAGAGAAATTTTTCTGCATTACATATTTGTAGTAAATATGGTAATATTAAAGTTGCTAATCTTCTTTTACAAAAAGGAGCTAAACCAGATTGTCAAGGAAAAGTAAGTTATATACATATATTCGTTTATTTAATAATAGTCAATTTATTTTTAGAATGATTTAACACCATTACATTGTGCTGTTCATTATAATCATGGAAATATAGCATTACTTTTATTACAACATGCAGCGAGTCCACATGTAACAGCACGCAATGGTTATACACCATTACATATAGCAGCTAAAAAAAATACTCATGATATTGCTGAAATGTTATTAGAATATAATGCAAATACAAATGCACAATCAACTGGTGGTTTTACACCATTACATTTAAGTTGTCAAGATGGTCATTCGGATATGACTCATCTTTTATTAGCTCATCATGCTAATCCAAATATAGCGTCAAAATGTCATTTAACACCATTACATTTATGTGCACAAGAAGATCGAGTTAAATGTGCTGAAGCATTAGTTAATAAAAATGCCAATATTGATGCACAAACACTTGTAAGATGAAAATTTTCAATTAATATAAGAATATTCTTTTTTTTTTTTTGCAAAGTGTCTATGAATAAAGATTAGGCTATATGTATATAATAAGTGTATTATGAGAGGTCATGACACTTCGTCTTTTCTCATGAGAGAATTTCTTCAGATGTCTTATTTCGACTGCAATTTTGATTAAGCTATTGAATTTTTCTCTCGAGACCCCAAGTTTTCGGAAAACTCGTATTTTTGAATTTTGATCTAAAACTTTATGCATATAGACAACTCAATTAGAATAGCTCACCTGAAAAAATACAGAAAAAGTCTGTTCGAAAGATGAAGCTCGCAAAAAATGCATGTCGTATGTATTATGCATCGAAAAAGATCTATATCTTAAAAGTTGCATATCTTGGACAGGATTTTTCTGAATTCTTTTCGGAAAGCTACTCTATAATTGAGTTGCTCATATGCACAAAGTTTTAGATCAAAATTCAAAAAGTATGAGTCTTCCAAAAACTTGGTGCCTCGAGAAAAAAATTCGACACGTTCGTCAACTGTCAATATGAATCGAAACCCTTTCAGATATAACCTATAAATTTTGATTGTTAATGCTTATTATCATTAGTATAAGAGTTTACTAAATAATTAGATCGATAGTTTTCTTGAGCGATACATTTCTAAATAACTAATCAACTTATGAGAGAATCTTTCCAATTTAAAAATCTTTTTTTGAGTTCGGACTTAGTGCAATAAGGTATATTCCAATAAAGTATTAAAAACCGTTCAAAAAGTAGACCTTACCTACAAAATTATAGCCATTTTGATTGAAATATTAGCCTATTGTATTGGATCTAGAAAAATGGTCGAATAACAACATTTTGACCTAAATGTTTTGAAAATTCGAAAATCTTGTTATCTTTGGAAATTCGATAGCTCATAAAGAAAATATTTTTTTGAACTAAAATTTTCAAGACATTCAAGTCAAAATATCGTCATTCGATTATTTTAGTATATTCTGTGCTAGTGGATAAAATTTCAGTCAAACGACTTTGACTCTGTAGTAAGTCTCGTTTTTTGGGAAGGTTTTTAATATCTCATTACGACTCACTTTATGCAAAAAACTTTTAACACAATTATCTATACGACTGTAATGATTATTATTATAATTATTTTTTTCTTTTAACTTCTTCTAGAGTGGTTATACAAGTCTACATGTTGCTTGTCATTTTGGTCAAATAAATATGGTTCGATATTTACTTGAACTAGGTGCCAATGTTAACATAGAAACCAATGTAAGAATATAAATATTTCTTTCGGTTTTTTTTTTTGAATAATCCTTTTTTATGGTTTATTTTCTTTTTCGTCTTCTTACAGCTTATGTTTACACCACTTCATTCAGCTGCTCAACAAGGTCATGTTATGATTGTTAAATTATTACTTGAAAATGGTGCTTCACCAAACAAAACAAATAAAGTAAAATTGTTAAACATACGTGTTTAATTTTGTTTTAAAACTAAATATATATATTTTTTTGTTATAGCATGGAATGACAGCATTATCAATTGCACAACGTCTTGGTTATATATCTGTTGTTGAAGAACTTAAAGTTGTTACTGAAACAACAGTTACTAGTAAACATGAATTATTAAGTGAAGAACGTTATAAAGTAAATTTTAATTGAAACAAAAAAAACACAGTTTTTTTAAAATTTCTTTTAGATTCAAGCACCAGAAATTTCTCATGAAGAACAACCATTAACTGATTCTGATGATGAAGGAGGTAAATATATCTATATCTATATCTATATTTTTAAGAGAAAAAAAAATGATTTAACTAAATAAATATAAAAAATTAAAAACTACAAAATAAACATCATCAAATTGTCTAGATGATGAAAAAAGAATTGCTAATGAAATAATTTATCCTGAAATTGGATATTTCGAAATGGCGAGAGCTATTAACAATTTAAAAAGCAAACAAAGAACGACTACAGGTAGTCGTATACTTTGCAGTTTTGATTTCTTTTTATTGCCTGACAAAAGAATGAAACCAATAAGTATTCCTATGCTTTTATCCTACAGATGCGCTCGCATGAATTATGCTATGACCCCAAAAACGCAATAAAAATTTCTATCATGATTATTTTATTTATATGATAAAAACCAGAGAAATGTTTATATTTAGACATGCTTGGTGATGCTAGTTCAAATGTTCATATGCAATATTTACGTGAAGGTGTTTTAATGACTGAAGCAGAAGAAAATAAACTTAATCAAACATCATTAATTAAAGTAAAGAATATTATTTATTGATTTAATCGAAATGACCCTGCCGAATACAGTGGTCTATCCTGAACCAGGATGTCGTATAAGTGATTTTATCGAACAAATTGCGGCACATCGGATAGTATATAAGAAATCAAGTTTTAGAAACTTTTGTATACTGATACCAATCCTAAGAGTATATGTGATACTGGAATATCATACACAATGTCTATGAGTACTACAAATATTCCAAGGATTATAATCAATATACAAAATTTACACAAAACTTGATTTCCTATTTCCTATTCGGTGCTCTGCAAAACCACATATATAATATCTTGGTTCAACATGATTCATCAAATCTGATTTGAGCTATGATTTATATGTATATATATATTAATTTATAGGAAGAATCTGAATATCCAATGTTAGCAACAAAAGATGGTTGGAATGAAAGTCGAGATAATTTACATGATCATCAACAAACACCTATTAAAACACAACCAACATATACGGCTGATAATGAAATAATTACAAAACCACGTCATGGAGGGTAAGTTTGAATTTGATTTTTTTCTTCTTGGTTTTCATTTTATTTGATAAGCATGAAAACGTTTGTTGCCATGTGTGTGTTGTGTATATATATATCTATTTTCTAGGGATCGTTTTCACTGTCGATCGTAAGTGTTCGCACATGCTTAGTTGATTTTCTGCTAGACTATTAATCATCTTAGATTAACTAATTGATTATATATTTATTTTTTCTTTCTGTTTCGTATTATTTTTCATTTGATATAATATGTTTATTTATGTATAGATTTTTGGTAAGCTTTTTGGTTGATGCTCGTGGTGGTGCAATGCGTGGTTGTCGACATTCAGGTGTACGAGTTATTATACCAGCAAAACGTGCTAGTATGCCAACAAGAATAACATGTCGTTTTGTTAAACGTGATAAATTAACTGTACCACCACCATTAAATGAAGGTGAAGCATTGGCAGCAAGAGTTTTAGAAGTTGGACCTGTCAATTGTAAATTTCTTGGGTAAGATATTTATTTCTGAGAAGAGAAACTCTAAGACACCTTTCGCGTGTCAATGAAAAATTGCAATTGAGATCAATGCATGAGAAGATAGACTGGCATCTAATCTAGAATAACTCGTTTTTGATCATTTCCGTCATTTTGTACTTGAAAAATATGCTTTTTAAGCCGCAAATCTTTTTCTCTGCTTTTGATTTCCTAATCGTCGACCTAAGAACTCTCGAAGGAATTTCATTGTGATCAATTGCTTTTTTCGTGTGCTGGAAAGAGCATGCAAAGCTACAGTGCTAGAGTTTTTTTTAATTACAATTTTTTATTATTGTATTAAACTGTTTCTATAAATAGAAGACCATTTCTCGAGGCATTGAACTTGTCATTGCGTTTCACAAAGAAGGAAAGAATTTAAAAAAAAAGAATTTAATTTATAGAATGAGATCCGCTGGGGACAAATGAAATATTTTTTACTCTTGTCTATTGAATGTCTCCCATGAACATCATGATCTAGAGCTTTCAGAGAGAGTCAGCATCAGCGAAGATATGATCGATTTGTGTATTAGTTTTTCTTGGGAATCAAACTGACCTCATTTCTGAAATCAGTAATTACCAGTAAAGAAAAAGAATTTTCAAGATTGTCAAAAATAAACTTATATGTTTGACAACATCGTTTTGAAAGATGTAATGAAATATGCTTTTTTTGCATTTGCAATATCAAGAACATTGAAAGAAGGTTGCATTATTATTCATATGCATCGGACTGCTATCAAGTTATGTACAATGAGAAGAAAACGAGACTTATAGAATGATGTAGATGATAGATGTATATAGTAGTGTTTTTTACCATTTTCGAGCTGTTTGAAAGGATTATATGAGCTTCGGCTCAGACCAGAAGTTATACAGGGTTACAATCCAAGCTCAAATTCTTTTCATTAACTTTTCTATCAACTTGAAATCTTATAAAGAGTTAGTACACTGAGTAAGGCAAAGCACTGCTTGGTAGAGTTCGACCAGTTGATTTTTTATAAAGACTAATCAGGAGACTTTGGGTCCAGTTCGAAATTCTGATCTTCGGATTGAAAAATTTGATAAAAGGTTGAATGTAGTTGAAAACAAGAAAACCAAAGAAATATTTATATATAAATCTCTTTTTGTTTTGTAATTAATTAATTAAATTTTAATAATCTCCTTTTAGACCTGTTATTCTTGAAATTCCTCATTTTGCTTCATTACGTAATCATGAACGAGAAATCATTGTTTTACGAAGTGACAATGGTGAAAAATGGACAGAACATACAAGTCCAACCACAGATGAAGCCGTACGTGATGTACTCGGTGATACGGTTGATTCTGAAGGTAAAAACAAAAAATTTCTAATATAAAAATTTTTCTTATTATAAAAATTGTTCCTTTTTTTTTTAATTAGAACTTGAAAATCTCGAAGAACTTCATTCACGTCGAATAACACGTATAATAACAAATGATTTTCCACGTTTTTTTGCTTTAATAACACGTTTACGTCAAGAAGCACATTTTATTGATGAACAAGGTGGTTTATTAACATCAACAATAATACCTAAAGTTCAAGCTCTTATACCTGAAAAAGCATTACAAAAACGTATTCGTATATCACTTCATGTTTTACCAATATCATCTCAACTTCTTCAACGTTCATATGGTACACGTGTTAATGTAAGTCCTATTGTAACAGTTGAACCACGTCGAAGAAAATTTCATAAACCAATTACATTAACAATACCATTACCAGCAAAATCTTTATCAACAACAAAACAAGGTCATCAACGAGAATCTCAACAACATGGAAATGCATATACAAGTGATTCTCAAACACTTCGTTTATTATGTAGTATTACTGGTGGTACACATCCAGCACAATTTGATGATATTACAGGACATACACCATTGACATTTTCAAATGATTGTGCTACATTTACAACAACTGTTTCAGCTAGGTAAATATCGTTGTTCAATTTTGTAGAGATGTTTTTTTTTTCTTGAGAAGATTTATGAGATATACTATTCATATGTATTGATCTTTCGATTCTGATTAGACATGAAGAAGATTCAGTTGTTTTTGGTTCCGATGGAATCGAGACTAGAAGCATCTTGTCCGTATCAGTTTAGAACGCATGAGTCACAACAATATAATATTCGATGCCAGTTTGATACATCTATAAAAGGTATTGTTCCTAATGAAAAAAATATTGGTTCTGATTCCAGAACTATCTTACCCACATCCTCTAATTCTAATGTTGATTGCATTGACTGAAAATATGAAATCTTACTTCGATTGAATTAATTATGAATAAACAATCGAAATATATTTTCCAGGCTTTTCAACTTTATTAATTTCTTTTTGTTGAGAATACTTTTGAACTGATTACTATATTTCTTAACTAATAATGACCTTAACCATATGGTTCATATAGCAAATATGTTTACCTTTAATCACGAAAGCAAAATCTACCAGACTTCCCGAGAAGCGAAGCAAATTTTTCCAACTGATACAAGTATGAGATAAATCATCATCTGTTTATAGACAATATATCAAGACTTCAAGCATTGTTTTATCCAGATTTCCTCTTCTGGATGGACTAACTTAACCTTTGGAGGAGCGCCAAACCCTGAGTCTTCACGCTGAATAAACCACTGAATTGAAGATTGAGAAGTTTTTTTCGCTGAACAGTTGATTTTTTCTGGAAACGCCACTCTAATATAAGACCAGATTCTTTATTCTTGCTTCTAACAATTCAGATAGAGTTGAATGATTTGTTTTTACTAATTCTGCTTACTCTTTGAGTAATTATATCGAACTTATCAATTCATGCTCTTTATTTGAATGACTACATATGATTGAAAAATCATATGTGTAACAGCTCCATATTAGCTAATTGATGACTAGAACTATCGAAATACCTATTGAACTGTTCCAAAAACTAATCGATCCAATTGATCAATTTCTTTTATAAAATTACGAGCCATTACACATGTATTGAAAACCATATCTTATGTTTTTTTTCAAAGATTCTGGTTAATCGATGGTCAAGGCGTACCAGATGTATTAAAATTAGCTCATGAAATATATCGTGAAGCAACATCAGTACCATATATGTCACGTTTTGTTGTATTTGCTAAACGAAATGATCCAAATGAATCACTTGTTCGTGTATTTTGTATAACTGATGATAAAGAAAATAAAACACTTGAAATGCAAGAACATTTTATTGAAATAGCTAAATCAAAAGAAGTTGAAGTTATTAATGGAAATGCAATTTATTTGGATTTACAATCAAATAATTTACAAACAATTGTTAAAACAAATGAACAATTAACATTTACATTTCGAGCATTTCGAGAAAATCGTTTACCATGTATTGTTCGTATACGTGATCAACAACAAGAACCAACAGGACGTTTAATATTTTCAAAAGATAATGGTAAATTAACAACTTTACCACGAACAGCATCAAGTACAATGACAAATGGACATGTACCATCAAATACAATGATTGATCCACAATTATTACAACCTATATGTAATTTAAATATTGTTTTACCATCATATGATAGAGTAAGAAATATATTTTGTTTACTTTGCTTTTTCTAATAATAAAACTATTTTATTTATCTTTATTTTTAATTAGGATTTAATTGAGGTAAGATGATGGTTATTGAAATTTGTTTTTTTTTTGTTATTTGTTTTAATTTTATTTAGAATGAAGAACGCATGCGAGCTCTTCATTCAGCTGAGCGAGATTCTCGTTTAGAAAGTAAGAATTCAAGAAAAATTAGATTTGAACAAAAAAATAAATAAAATTATTTTTCTTTAGGTTGGAGATCTGATGATATGTATCGAAAAGGTGAAATTCGTTTAACGGATATAGCACGATTATTAGGCAGCGACTGGCCAGCACTTGCTGCTGAACTTGAATTAACTGAAGAAGAAGTTACTAAATTAATGGATGAATATGGAGAAAATGCTGCTTTACATATGTTACGATATTGGCTTAAATCACGTGGACCTGACGCAACAGGTGAACACGTTTTTTTCATGTATATCTTAGACATGACCAGAATCAGTCGTTTTCAGTCCCGGTTCTGGCTTTGGTCAGAATAAGCTTTGGCATTGACTCTGATAAAAAAAAACGTCATAGTCCGAAATCAAGTCTATAAATAAATGAGGCTTTGATCAAAAACAAAATTGGTATCGATTTCCTTAGCTTTCAACGATATTGTATGTAGATAGATGATCATTTTTCATAAATACGAGTATTGAAGTCTCTGATAGATGAAGGACTAAGATGGTTATTTGTCTTTGGAAAATAATTCTTTTGATAAGAGATTGTTACTAAACTTTTTTGTTTTTTTTTATCGATTATTTGAACTGAAAATTCTTATTGAAGTTCTTTATTTTTGTTTTTAGGTAACTGTCTTCAGCAAGCCTTACGTAAAATTGGCAAAGAAAATATTGTTCAGAATTGTGTATTTAATATTGAATGGGTTACGGATGCAGCAGAAAAAGAAGTAGCCAAAGCACGTTTAACTAGTCGTGGGGGAAGTATAGATGGAACAACAACTGGTGGACGTCGTGTATGTTTTACTGTTTTTTTGTTCTATTATTTCCTTCAAAATCTTTTTTTTTTTGTATTATTATTATATAGTTAGATGAAGGTTTTGAAAGTGATGATGAATATGAACGTCGTCGTCATGGAAGATCTAGTAAGTAATTAAAAACAAAAAAACAAAAAAAAAACCTGATAATATTTCCCTCGAAAAAATCATATCGATAAAAAAAACTATTTTCTTTTAATATTTAAACTAAAGATATCATAATTAATGATACAATTCGACCACGTACAATAATAAAAACTATAACATTTGAAGAAACAATTGAAGATGAATTAGGAGAAAAGAAACAAGAAAAAATTTCATCTCAACAAATTCTAAATCCACAATTTAAACAATTAGAACCACTTAAAATGATTAAACGAGATTTATCTAAAGATTTTCTTCCATCATCATCATCAACCTCAAGTGCTGATACAATAATAAATACAAAAATTCATGAAAAACGATTAGGTTTATAAAATAGATATTGTCAAGCTTTTGTCTTGTAGAAAGAAAACCTCCTCATTGTTGTTATTATTGTTGTTATTGTTATGTCAATGTTGTTTTGTATATATATTTAAAGGCGAACGTGATGGTCCTTTACACTATGTTGATTCAAGTAAAGTCCCAACACCAGCGTCACGTTATGGTGGTTATTATTCAATATATCATCCACCGAATTATTCAGGTTCAATAACACCATTAAGTTGTTATTCACATCCATTTGAAATGATACATATTGAAAGTTTAAGAGAAAAATTAAATAGACTAACACGTGATAAAGGTTTTCTTTTGTGTTTTGATGTGTTATTTTTCTATTTTAAGCATGAGATATGTGTTTTTGCAGTGATCAGTTCTTTTTTTATTAAGTTATTATGAAACTATATGAATTTTTTTTTTTGTTTAGTTGATCATGATGATTCATTAGGAAAACAACGAAGTATAGATCTTAGTGAAGGACGCAAAACACCAACGGGTAAGAATATAATTATCATTATTGAATCAGTCAGAAGTCTTCTATTTATATGTTCATAGTATTAGTTAGCTCAGCAGTTTATCTCATGGGAGATAAAAGAAAGAAAAAAAAAAAGGCTATGTTTATAAATGAAAAAATTTGGTTATAAGAATAAAAAATAAGAAGAAGAAGACGAAGACGAAGACTTTTCTTCTTGCTTTTCTGAATCAATGAATATTCAATAAGAAAAGAAAAAAAAAAAAAACAAAATTTCAGCATAGATTATCTTATATATATATATAATAATAGAGTTGTGGTCTATTTGAATACAAAGTAAAACTAATAATGGTAGTATACTGATGCTTATATAGTTTATTTTGATATGAGTTCTTTTCTATTTTATTCATTCCATATGTTTATTGTGAACGAAAATTTTGTTATTACCTTCTAAAAGAAAAAAAAAGAAAAAGTAGAGTCGCTATTCATATGATGACGTTTGATAAAGATGAGAATTATAAGACTACGGTTATTATCGTAGAAAGGAAGAAAATTTTTTTTTTCGGTTAATAAGATTTATTCAGTAAGGAAATCAATAATGATAATAAAACTATTGTTAAGTGTATTTTTTTTTTATAAATCTCTATCATTATTTAATGATGTATTTTGAAAGAATTTGATCTATTTATGTCTAACGTTCTATGACACGTACACAGATTGATTTTTCTTATGAGAGAACGTTTTCAACTACTCAATTCTTTTCTTACTAAGAGCTAACGAGTTGTGGGTTATCGACGACGCTGATTCCGAATAGGACGATAAGATATTTCCTTAGGTTTTTATATAACTGGTTTTATAGAAAAAAAGTTTTCTGAATCGACAAACATTTTCCCAATATAGCTTTTGATCTATTCAAGTTATAGAGTAGAGCCGGTCGAGTCCGGAACTAATCCAACGGGCTTAATTATAGAGTGTAGTGAGTTGTCTACAAGACAATAATCTTTTCTGTTGTCCAAAAATGACTTTGTCTGTAAAAGAAAAAGACCTTAAATTGAGAAAGTTATTGTTATCTAAGCAATTCGATATGTTCTGTAACTTGGACAAATTAAAAGGAATTTTTGATGAGTTTGCAAAAGTAGCATATGAAGACCTAAGAGAGATATCTCATAATCATATTCCAAATCAGCATAATCGATAAACTTAAATCTACGAGCTTTCGATGAGAAACTGATTGATCAATTGATAATATTCCCTTGTTAGCAGATGCGTTGCATAAAATGAGTTAGATATTTTTCTCAGATCTCTCTTTGTTCAAATACTTTGAACCAGTTTTAAGTTAGTTAATAATTTTGTAAACTTCACATTATATTTTCCAAAGAAATATATAGTGAGTAAAAGTTTTAAGTTAAGATTTTGTTACTCCATTTTCATAGTAACGAGAGTAATATCAATAGTCATTGAGTACGTTTCCATAAAAGTCGAGTTGAATAGTAGTCGTCCGACTCTTTGCACAATGTTCATTACGAACGAAAGAAATACCATTGACAACAAGACTTAAACTGTTGTAGAATATTTTAAATGACTGAAAAACGTTTGTCAGTGCGATTTTCTATTTTTGCGCAGATAAAAACCTCTATTCAACATGTCAAGGATGATGAATTGTTATGTATTGATAGGTCTCAGTCGACATACGATCAATATAAAAAGCACAAATTAATCAAATTATATATCAATATCGTTGTTTGTATACGTATCGAGATAACTAATAATGTGTTGAGATCTACTGTCGATATCATAGATAAGTATAATAGGTTGATTTGCCGAGTAAAATCAATTTTAAATTAAAAAACGAAAATGAAATTCGACGAATAAATAGAAAAACGAATAAAAAATAGCGTGTCAGCAAACAATAAGACAAAGTGTTTCTTTGACGATTGATTATTCTTTGAAAATAACTACAATCTTCTATAGATTTTTCACTTGACGTATGTTGTATTAGTTTAATAAGACTTAAGAACACATGTGAGTTCCATATTTTAATCTCAAAAGAATTGCGCTGGCAAGTTTCTTTTTTTTTCTATATTAAATTTAAGAAATATTAATCAATTGTTTATTCTTTTTTTTTTCAAGAATATCCAACAAGAAAACACTTACCAAAACGAGATGATTTTGGTATTGTTCATATAGCCAAAGAAGCAACTCCAATAGAATTCGATTATGAAATACCATCAACTAAAACCTTATCTGCTATGGATACAGTTGTTCAAGAAACACCTGTTTCTTCAATAAAACTTGATGCTAAGAAATTAGATGAAGACGTACCACAAAAACAACAACAACAACAACAAGAATCTACTATTATAACGACTGAACAACCAACTCAAATCCTTGATGATACTTGTAAGTAAAATTAAAAAAATCATTTTGTTCTCGCTCTTTTTTTTTCCATCCCTTTAAATAATTCTTTAATTAAAAAAACCTAAAATTTTCTTCCAGCACCTACGCGTACTAATTTACCATCTCAAACAGTAACACCTGTAGGTGAACGTTTAATAAAATCAAAAATCATACCCGAACAAGCACGTGCACTAGCACATGCACTTAAACATGCTGTTGTTAAACCATTAAAAAAAACAATAGCTACAAAAAAAATGAAATCTTTTGAAATGAATACAAATGAACCACAAATAACACATTCATTATCAACACCATCATCAATGATTATTGAAAATTCCGATAATATTGTAAATGAAACATATGTTGATTCACTTGAATCAATAAGTCCTTTAGCATTAACACCACCACCAGCTAAACCACCACGTCATAATGATGAATCTGGTTCATCATCATCTATAGATATAAGTTCACCACCAACAAAACCACCTAGACATTTTTCTTTATCGAGTACTAATAATAATGATGATGATGGTCTAATACAACAAACAGATAATGTTGTTAAAAAAGTTTTAAATCTTGTTGATACATTTGGTATCATATCAGATAATGATCATGATATGAATATTTTACGACAAACATCACCATCAGAAACCTATGTACAACAACAACAACCATCAACTATTGATGAATTTGAAAATGAAAATTTAAATAATTTTCATACAATTAATACATTTACTGTTGATCCAGCAAGAATAATTTTAAAAACTGATTCATCATTAATAACAAAATCATTTGATGAACCTTCAGCAACACATTCATCATATCCAATTGTATCGTCATCAAATGATTTTTCATTTTCTTCGAATGATAATAAAACTCCTATTGAAATAACACAATTAGCAAACAATTTAACAGAAAATATTTTTGAAGAAATTGAAAAAGAATTTGAAAGACAAGAGCAATTAACAAATCTTAATACAAATATAAATAATGATCGACAAAATTTAATTGATAAATTATCTACACAATCATCAAAATCAACAAATAATACATTTCGTGATAATGCACCATTATTACCTCAATCAATAGCAACAACACATCCAGCATCAATTCAATCGACGACCCGTCCTCTAATGTTTGTTTCACTTGAGCCAAGTTTTAATATAACAAAAACATTTTCACCATTAATTGATATTGTTACAACAAAACCGACACCAAAAATAACAACATCCGTTACAGTCATAAGTCCACCACAACCAGAAATTTCATCAACAATAACAACAAATATAAATTCTGATGATGAAGAACAATTAAATAGTTCTTCCACATTAATGCCAAATAGTAGTATAGCTTCCGATCGTTCGAAATTTTTGCAAACTAGTAGTAAAGAAAGTAGTATTGATTCAAATGATACAAATCTATCAGATAATGCTATATCACAACAATTAAATACAGGTAGTGCAACACCGGCACGTTCACTGCTATCGGATTATGATAATTTACATGGTTCATACGGAAGTTTAAATGATGACACTCAACAGCCGATATCTCTGCCTCCAATTTCCGCAATATCATCTGAAGCAATATCATCTATGCCGACAATTACTAATCCAACTGCAACAACATCAATGTCAACGATTAATGAAAGTTTCGAAAGTATACCATCATCTACAGGAACATATGCAACCGCTATGAGTACATTGACAAATGATACTACAAGTGATTCAACAACACTAACTCAACATATAAATTCCTATATAAGTGATGAAGATCTTGTTGAATCATATGAAGTTGAAACACCAACCCTCCCATCTAGCAATCCATTTCGTTTTATTAAAGGTAGAATCGCATCGTATTATATACAAATAAACAAGCACGAACATATTTATTCATTTTTTCTGGCATGTCTTGATGTCCCTAGGTTTTTTGCCTTGTTCGAATTGGCATGATTATTTCAATGCTTATTTTATAATTATTTATTTATTTTTATTTCATAAAAATAATAATAATAATCATCATAACAAATAATTTCTCTATATTTTTATCTATATATAATATAGCATCGCCGCCTATAATCGAAGTTGTCGAAGACAATAGTGAACCTGCTGATGAAGACGATATGTCATTTTTAAATGATATTCTTGAACAATACAATCATAATTTTCATTTACAAGGTTTGCGTACACGCATGTTCATAATAAAAATGATGTGTGCGCATGAAGAAAAAAAATTATATTATTTTTCGTTTTATAAGAATTTTTTTCATTATCGAAATTATTTGTTCATTTAATATATATTTCATTTATTGTTATTTTATTCTTGTTTAGACACTCCTGCAAGACATATTAGTGATACGGAACAAATATCAACTGATGTGAATAAAGAAGGTAAGAAAATAATATAGATCTTAATAATTTTTTTCTAAAATACGAATTTTAATATTACTGCTGCTCATTTAATTAATGTTACTCGTTAATATGCATGTTATAGATTAGAATATGCTGAAATTTAATCATTAAAGTTATAAGATCTAAATTAATTAATTTTTCTAGTTCAACATTAGTCGAGAGATCAATAATGTAAGCAATAAGCAAAAGCATGGATTTTTGAGAATGGGTTTATTATTATTATTTTATAATAAGCATGTAGCTAAATTTAAAAAAAATTGCCTTTTTTCCTTAAAGCGAACATAAACGCATGATTTTCAAAAATTGTTTTTTTTCTCACTGACCTATACGCGTACACTTATATTGCATTATGTTTGAATGTATATATCTATATATATATATATATACATATGCGAATGAACATACTCTATAAAGGATATGTGCAAGTGTGATACGGTTTTTAAAAAAACTGCTGTTGTTCTTTTTCCTTTTTTTTTGCATGTTCTACTAAGCCTTTTCTTTTTATCTTAGTATATGTTGTTTGTTATTACCTCTGTCATCACTTCTTTTCTTATTGTTGTCTTGAAGTACACATTGATTGAGAGACTTTTTAGTCTTCGTCTTTTCTGATCGTTCAATAACAGCAAATTGATTGCTTGGTAAATAATAGATAGGAAAAGAAACTTACACACCCACACCCACAAACGATAATCAATAAAAAGAATGTTTGACTTATTGACTTTCATTATTGTTTTTTTTTTATTTCTGGTGTATATATTCTTTCTTCACTTATTCGTATCTTTGCATGATAGTGAAATAATTATACTGTTTCTCGTTTTACAACAGAGCAAAACCGTATCACATCCACACATATTATCCATTACAGAGAAAATCGCTTATTATTTTTTTCTATATATATATAAATATATATTTACTATGAGAATTATCTTTCAAAAATAAGTTAAATGCCATATTATATTCGTGAGATTTTTTTTTCTATTACATTTCTTTTTTTTTTGTTCTCATTCTTTTCAAACTATATCATCAAAGAGAATAAGCAGCAGAATCAAATGGGACGAAGTGATTGCTAAGTTATTACAACTCTCGTTTTTTTCCTTGTTTTCTATTGTTTGTAGTTACTATTGCTGGCAAAGGAGAAGAGCCATCACCACCATCATCATCAAAAACATCATCATTATTATTCTCTTCTACTTCTCCTTCTACTAATTTTCCTTTTTTTTCTTCTTCTCGTATGACTACTATAACAGAATCTAATATTTCACCACCAATGACAAGTCAATCATCAACATTACCATATCGACAATCAAATGATATTCCATTAAGAGAATCAATTATTCATGAAGATAAAACAATATTAGATGAACAACATGATAAAAATGATACTAATATTAATCTTCAATCACCAACACATCAACGTCGTTTACCATTACCGAATAAATTAACATTTGAACAAAATATAACAAATCTTATTGAAAATGAATCACCTTTATTACAATCAGAATTATTAACAGCTGAACATGAATTATCTGTATTACGTTCACGTTTAGCTGTTAATGAAGGTGTTACAGCTGTAACAGGTACAATACTTAAATCACTTAAAGGACAATTTGAACCACATCATACAGTTGATACAGCAACATCACCATTTGATATATCAAAACTTAATTTATTTCAACATTCATTAGCTATACAAACATCACCAATGATTGAAACATTACCTGATATACCAGAATCTGTTGAAATACATTATGATGCACAAACAGTTAAAAGTCCATATTTACTTGTTAAAGCAAAAAATTCATTTTGGATAGCACAACCAATACCTGTTGCTGAAGCACAATCACATTTAAAAAAATTTTCATCACCTGTTATGAAACGTGCTACTGTGAAATTACCAAGAACATTTGATCAAACATTTTTAACTGATAGTGATACGGATGATGAACAAATTATAACAAGTCAATCAATGGAAGATAAACAATTAAATAAACCTATAAATATTGATAATACTATTTCAAATGAAGTAACATCATCAACGATTATTGAAGAATCAATTAGTCCATCGAATGAAAATTTATTATCATCAACAGATAAATTTTCATCGGTTCTTACAGAAAATAAACTTGAAAATGAAATTCCGATGGAAGATAAACAACCAACATCTGATGTAAAAGAACCAATATTGGAAATTAAAAAAATACGTTCATCCTCACTTCTACGAGTTGAAGAACAATTTGAACAATTCGATGATAAAATTGATGAAATTTATTCCATTATTGATTATTTAAAAAATACAAAATTAACATCAACAAATTTTAATACTATACATACAAAAATAAATGATTTAAAAACAATCATATCTGATATAAATTTAAATAAACAAGATGAATTACGTATTGAATATGAATTAGATGAATTACAAAATTTATTTCATACAATAAATGATAACTTAATAAATCAATTACATCAACAAGAAGATTATAGTTTAATTGATTTATTTGAACAAAATGTTAATGAATTACGTCGTATTATAAATGATATTAAATCGAAACAAACAAATTTAACAACAACTAAAATAAATGAATCCGAAATAAAATCAGATGAAAATTTACAAGAAAATCTATCCAAACAAATGATTCCCCATGATGCAGATTGGTCACCTGAACAAATGGCTGAATATTTTCAACGTGGACCTGATGGTGAATTATTATTATCGAAACAAGCACATTCACATCTTATACCTGAAAGTCCTGTTATAACACGTGATGTCTTTTTCGAAGGTGATAAATCAATTCAAGAAAAACGATCTTCTCATCCACATGTAACACATCTAATACCTGAAGATGCACGTGTGAGTGCTGATAGTTTTTATGAAGGTGATGTACATCGTTCATTATATCATAAAGAAAAAGCCAAAGAAACGATGGTTCATGACAAACATCTTATACCAGAAAGTCCACGCGTTTCAAGTGATGTTTTTTATGAAGGTGACTCACAACGTTCAATGTTTGTTGAACGTTCATCATTACCACAAATGGAATCCATACAACCATCATCAATTGATAATCTTCGAAGTATAATGAGTGATTTAATGCTTGCTGCTTCATGGTCAAAAAAATCATATAAAATTGATGAACAACAAATAAAACATAATGATGAAGAAATTCTTGCTGAATCATTTATAACAACAGAACAACATTATCCACCATCAAAATTATGTGAAATTGTACATGAAATTGAAAATTTTCCATTAACATTACCAACACAAAAACTTGATGAATCAACAATTGAAGTTGAAGAACTTGATACAAGATCACCATTTACTTCTCAATCACCTATTTTTATACATCGAACTATTTTAACACGACAAGATACTGAACGATGGCCACAAGATGAAACAATTATTATTGATGAACAAGCACAGGAAGATATATTAAAAACGACTGAGCTTGAAAAAATTACAGAAGATATTCGACAACATGCTGAAAATTCTTTAAATTTATTGAAAGAAAAAGAAGAAATCTATGAAAAACGATATCAATTACCACAAATCATAGATCAGCAAATTATTATTGATGATAACCTTTATGATAAATCTAAAAAGCATATAGAAGAACGAAAAGATAATATTTTTATTGAAACACCACAGGAAGAAATTGAAGAAAGAGATGAAAATGACCAATATCATATTGAAAAAACATGGAGTACAGATAAAATCATAGAACCTTCATCCATTATTCCAACAGATGAGGATGTACAAGCTTTACATAAACCCCTAGATGAATACCAACAGGAACAACAACAAAAGAGTGAACTTCGTGCATCAGCACAAGCAGATCAATATGAATATCAACTAGAATCAAAACTAGCCTCGGAACAACTGCCTACGGATTTAACACGACTGATTGAAAATGAAGAACAACTATCAAGTCCAATACATACGCCCATTGAAGAAAAACACGAACTTCAACGACGATTAAGCTCCGAGAAGCACAGCACCGAATCTCCTCATCTTAGTGAACAAGAAGAAGAGCAATATGAACCAAAATATGAGACATTTGAACAAGATCGTCATGAACCATTGCTCACTTTTCAACAACACTTCATCGAACATCCTGAACTAGATATTCAACAAAAAGATGAACAAGCAGATTATTATGAAAATGAAAAAATACTAACCACCGATACAACCATAATCAAACCATTGGAAACAGCCGAAAAACAAGAAAAGCGCCATGATGAAGAAACAGTGAAATTAGAAAGAGAAGCCGGTGAAATCTATGAAGCAGAAGAATTCGAAACTCAACAAAAACGAACTAGTCCAGAGATTCACAGAGAATCATCTCATGAAAGTGGTCATGAAGAAGAAGAAGAAACAGAACAATATCAACCTCAGCGAAAACTTAGTGATGATAAAATCGTTCTTGAATCTTCTCCAGTGATCGAAGAACCTCAACATGAACCAAGTTCAACATCTGCAGCAATCCCTACTACATTTCAGCAAGAAATCCACGAAAAATATGAACCAAGAGAAGACTATCATATTAAACAGAAGTTAACTACCGAACAAATCATTGCCGAATCTCCAGAACTTAGTGAACATGAACACGAAGAAGATCAATATGAACCAGAATCCATAACAAGTTCAGAGAAGATACAAATTGAGCCTAGTGAAACAATAGAAGTAGATCATCATGAAGCATTACTTAGCTCTGATCGAGAATTCGTCGAATTTCCTGAATTACGCACTTCATATACTGATGAACATGTTGTTGAATATCGAGAAACAGTAAAAGAAGAAGAAAAAACACCTCATGATGAAGAATTGTTGGAAACACAAAAACCAGTCAGTGAAATCCATGAAATCCATGATTATGAAATCGAACAAAAACCAACTCGTGCGGATATTCACATCGAATCACCTCATGAAAGTGATCATGAAGAAGAGGAGGAAGAAGAACAATATGAACCACAACGAAAACCTAGTGATGAGCAAGTTGTTCTTGAATCTCCTCCAGTGACTGAAGAAGCTCAATATAAAGCAAGTTCAATTTTGACAGCAGTCCCAATTGCATTCCATCAAGAAGCTCATGAAGTAAAACAGGAACCTGAAGAAGATTATCAAACTCAACGCAAGTTAAGCACTGAACATGTCATCGTTGAATCTCCTGAAATTAGTGAACATGAACAAGAAGAAGATCAATATGAACCAGAATTACGAACAAGTTCAGATAGAATTCAAATTGAACCTGCTGTAACAATTGAAAAAGAACGCGAAGAAACATTACTCGCTCCTACACAACAAATCATCGAACCGACTGAATTAATCACTACACACAGAGATGAAGAAAAGGATTACTATGAATCCGAAGAAGAACTCATCAGTGATAATATTGTTGTTGAACCTCCGAAAATAGTCGAAGAAGAAGAAAAACATCATGATGAAGAATTACTGGAATTAGAAAAAGAAGCCGGTGAAACTCATGAAGCAGAGGAATATGAAACCGAACAAAAACCAACTGCTACTGATATTCACATCGAATCACCTCATGAAAGTGATCATGAAGAAGAAGAGAAAGAAGAACAATATCAATCCCAACGAAAACCTACTGATGAGTCAGTTGTTCTTGAAACTTCTCCAACAACCGAAGAAGCTCAATATGAACCAAGTTCAACCTTTGCAGCAGTTCCGATTGCATTTCAGCAAGAAATCTATGAAGTGAAACACGAACCTGAAGAATATTATCAAATTGAACGCAAGTTAAGCACAGAACAGATTATCGTCGAATCTCCACAACTTAGCGAACATGAACAAGAAGAAGAGGAATATGAACCAAAATCAATAACAAGTTCTGACAAGATTCACATTGAACCTCGTGAAACAGTTGAACAAGATCGTCAGACATCATTAGACACTTCATACACGGATAAAAAAGAAGACCATTATGAATTTGAAGACAAATTAACTCGTGATAAGAATGTCTTCGAGTCTTCAGAAATCGTCGAAGAAGAAAGACTGCATAAGAAAGAACCATCAGAACAAGAAAAAGGAGCCGGTGAAATTTCTGAACCAATTGAATCTGAAATCGAAGAAAAAATAAGTGGTGCCGATATTCACTTGGAATCATCTCATGAAAGTGACCATGAAGAAGAACAAGTTCGACCTGATCGAAAACGTAGCACTGATCAAATCATTGTTGAATCCGAAGAAGTTCAAAAAGATCAATATGAACGTGCTTCAAGTTTTGAACAAATTCCAAGTGCATTTTATGAAGAAATACATGAGATGAAACAGGAGCCAAGAGAAGATTATCCAATTGAAAGAAAACTAAGCACCGAACAGATTATTACTGGTTCTACAGAAGTTAGTGAACATGAAGAAGAAGAAGAGCAATATGAACCAGAATCGATAACAAGTTCGGAGGAGATCAAAGTTGAAGAAGATCGTCATGAACCGTTATCAACTGGTGCACAACAGTTCATCGAACCTGCTGCATTGGTTGCCCCACACATAGGTGAACAAAAAGACGAATATGAATCTGAAGAAGAACTAAGTGTTGACAAGAATGTTATCGAAGCTCCAGAAACAGTCGAAGAAGAAGAAAAACATCATGATGAAGAATCACTGGAATTAGAAAAAGAAACCGGTAAAACTCATGACATAGATGAACATGCAATTCAACAACAACCAACTGCTGCTGATATTCACATCGAATCACCTCATGAAAGTGATCATGAAGAAGAGGAGGAAGAAGAACAATATCAACCTCAAAGGAAATCTAGTGATGAGCAAGTTGTTCTTGAAATTTCTCCAATAACCGAAGAAGCTCAATATAAAGCAAGTTCGATCTTGGCAGCAGCTCCTATTGCATTCCACCAAGGAGTCCATGAGGTAAAACAGGGACCTGAAGAAGATTATCAAATTGAACGAAAGCTTAGTTCCGAACAAGTCATCGTCGAATCTCCAGAAGTAAGTGAACGTGAACAAGAAGAAGAGAAATATGAACCAGAATCGATAACAACTTCAGAGGAGATCAAAACTGAGCTTAGTGGTACAGTTGAACAAGATTTTTATGAACCATTACTGGCTTCTGCACAACAACTCATCGAACCGGCTCAACAAGTCACTGGACACAGAGATGAAGAAGAAGATTACTATGAAACTGAAGAAGAATTAACTAGTGACCAGAATGTTATCGAATCTGCAGAAATAGTTGGACAAGAAAAGAGACATGATGAAGAACTGTTGGAAACAGAAAAAACAACCGGTGAAATTTATGAAACAGGCGAATATGAAATCGAACAAAAATCAACAGATGCGAATATCTCGTTAGAATCGCCACATGAAAGTGATCATGAAGAAGAGCAAGAACAACGACTTTCTGAACGAATACGTAGTACTGACGAAGTCATTGTTGAAACACCTGAAATCGTCGAGCATGAAAAGTCACCATTCGAACAATTTCACCATGATGAACAGATTAATATAATACCACGTGACGAAATGGAAAGAGAAGAATCAGAACCAATCGATCATCAAGAATCACATGAAAGATTGTGTTCTCAAAAGACCGAACTCGAATTTCTTCAATTCAGTGAACCAGAGGAGGATGAAGATGAATTTCAACAATCACAGCTTGATCGAAGAGCTTATATTATATCTTCTCAAGAAACTCGACCAACTGAAATAGAAGTCGAAGAACAGTATCCATCAGAACGAAAACTAAGCTCGGAAAAAATCGCCATCGAATCGGCACAAATTATTGAACATGATCAAGAAGAAAAAGCTTATGAACGACCATTAACTTCAGAGCAAATTTCCGATGAAGAAAAAGAAGTACATAAACGAAAACTAAGTGTCGAAAAGCGCTCCACTGAGTCTCCCGACCTTAGTGAACATGAAGAAGATCAATACGAGCAAAAATTTGAAACGGAATCTATATCAAGTTCAGAAAAGATAAAGATCGAACCTACTGAAACAGTTGAACAGCAACGTCAGGAACCATTACTAATTTCTCAACAACAATTCATCGAACATCCTGAACTTCGCATTCAACACAAAGATGAAGAAACACTCGAAACTGAGAAAGAAGCTGGTGAAGTTCATGAAGAAAATGAATATGAAATCGAGCAAAAATCAACTGGTACAGATATTCATGTAGATTCACCTCATGAAAGTGATCACAAACAAGAAAAAAGACAATATGAATCAAGTTCAGGTTTCGAAGGCTTTCCGATAGCATTTCCTCAAAAAAGTGAAGAAATTAAACAAGAATCCGAAGAAGATTATCAAATTGAACAAAATTTAAGTACTGAACACGACGTTACTGGGTTTTCAGAACTAAGTGAACACGAAGAAGACGAATATCAATATGAACAGAGATATGAAACTGGACAATATCAGTCACCATCTATCACAAGTCCAGACAAGATGGACATTGAATCTGTCGAAATAACTGAACACGATCATTCTGAACCATTACAAACTTCTGCACAACAATTCATCGAACCTCCTGAAATCGACACACAACAGAAAGATGAACAAAAATTAACCACTGATGAAATTGTTATTGAATCTCCAGAAAAAGTCGAAGAAGAAATGAAACATGATGATCAAGAAACATTGGAATTTCAAACAGAAGTTGGTGGTATTCATAAAGAAGATAAATATGAAGTTGAACGAAAGTTACGTGACGAAAATATTCATTTAGAATCACCTCATGAAAGTGATCATGAAGAAGAACAAGTTCAACCTGAACGAAAACGTAGTGCTGATCATATCGTTGTTGAACCCGTAGAAAAACTCGAACAAGATCAATATGCACCAACATTGAGCTTAGAACATGTTCTACATCAATATCACCAAGTAATTCAAAACGAAGAACAAGCTCTAGAAGAAATTAATGAAATGCAACGAATGCTAACCAGTGTACAACGCATGACTGGATCTCCAGAACAAAGTAAACAGAAACAACAAGCAGATCAATATGAACCAGAATCTTTATCTAGTTCACAAAAGATTCATATCGAACCTACTAAAACAGTTGAAGAAGATCGTTCTAAGCCATTACTCACCACTCAACAACAATTCATCGAGCAGCCTGAAGCAGGCATTCAACACGAAGATGAAGAACAAGAACATGATAAAGAATCATCAGTACATGAAAAAGCAGCCGGTGAAACTTCCGAAGTAGACAAATACGAAATCGAACAAAAATCAACTCGTTCCGATATTCATTTACAATTACCTCATGAAGGTTATCATGAAGAAGAACAAGTTCAACCTGAACGAAAATTTCGTGCTGATCAAGGTGTTGTTGAACCCTCTCAAGAAAGCGAAGAAGAAGACCAATATAAACCAACATTGAGTTTAGAACATGTTTTAAATCAATATCACCAAGTCATTGAAAAAGAGGAACAAGACCTAGAAGAAATTAATGAAGTTCAACGAGTGTTAACTGCTGTACAAGCTATAGTCGGATCTGTTGAACCTATCGAACAGAAGCAAACAGAAGATCAATATAAACCAGAATTAAGAATAAGTTCGGATTACATTCAAATCGAACGTGGCGTACCAGTTGAAAAAGAACGCGAGGAACCATTGCTCAGTTCTCAACCAAGATTTCTCGAACTTCTGGAAGCTGAAACTTCTCCGACGGATGAAGAAAAAGATCACTATGAATCCGAAGAAGAACTCAATAGTGATAATATGGTTGTTGAATCTCCGAAAACAGTCGAACAACAAAAAAGACATCATGGAGAAGAATCATGGGAATTAGAAAAAGAAACCGGTGAAACTCATGAGACAGAGGAATATGAAACCGAACACAAACCAACTGCTACTGCTATTCACATCGAGTCACCTCATGAAAGTGATCATGAAGAAGAAGAGGAAGAAGAACAATATGAATCTCAGCGAAAATCTAGTGATGAGCAAGTTGTTCTTGAATCTTCTCCAGTGACTGAAGAAGCTCAATATAAAGTAAGTTCAATTTTGGCAGCAGCTCCAATTGCATTCCATCAAGACACTCATGAAGTAAAACACGAACCTGAGGAAGACTATCGAATTGAACGAAAGTTGAGCACAGAACAAGTTGTCGTCGAATCTCCAGCGCTTAGTGAACATGAACAAGAAGAAGAGTCGATAACAAGTTCTGACAAGATTCACATTGAACCTCGTGAAACAGTTGAACAAGATCGTCAGGAATCATTAGGCACTTCATACGCGGATAGAAAGGAAGATCATGATGAACCCGAAGAGAAATTATTTACTGATGAAAAGGTTGTTGAATATCGAGAAACAGTAAAAGAAGAAGAAAAAACACCTCATGATGAAGAAGTGTTGGAAACACAAAAACCGGTCAGTGAAACTCATGAAATACATGATTATGAAATCGAACAAAAACCAATTCGTGCGGATATTCACATCGAATCACCTCATGAAAGTGAGCATGAAGAAGAAGAAGAAGAAGAATCATATCAATCTGAACAAAAACGTAGCGCTGATCAATTCGTTATTGAATCTGAAGAACAACTCGAAGAAGATCAATACAAAGGACCTTCAAGCTTCGAGCAAGCTCCAAGTACATTTCGCCAAGAAATTGAAGAAGAAAAACAAGAATCTGAACGAAGTTCAAGCTTTGAAAAAGACATCGTCGAATCTCCTGAACTTACTGAACGAGAAGAACAGTATCAACCAGAATTTTTAATAACTTCTAACATAATGAAAACTGAAGCTGCTGAAACTGTCAAACAAGATCATCAATTAATTGAGCATCCTGAAATAGAGACTCAACATATACATGAACAAGAAGATCACTTGGAATCTGAAAAGAAATTAGCTGTTGATAAGAATGCTATTGAATATCCAGAAATAGTCGAAGAAGAAAGAAGACATCATGATAAAGAATTATTTGAACCCGAAAAAACAACCGGTGAAATTTATGAAGTACATGACTATGAAACTGAACAAAAACCAAGTGGAGCAGATATTTACATAGAATCACCTCATGAAAGTGATCATGAAGAAGAAGAAGAAGAAGTTCAACCTGAGAGAAAACTTAGTATTGACGAATTCGTTGTTGAACCATCTGAAGAAGAGCAATATGAACGAACTTCTAGTTTTGAACAAGTTGACGTTGGATTTCATCAAGATATTGACAAAGAAAAACACGACATACACGATGATTATGAACAAGAACAAAAATTAGCTTCCGCAATAATTAGTTCTGAACCTCCTCAAATTAGCGAATATGAACCATTTGAAACAATCGATTATAAACAATACCAACACGAAATACCTCGAACTGATGAAGAAAATCAAACTGAAGTCGAGAATATATTCAAATCAGAACGAAAACTTAGTTCCGGAAAGATCAGTCTCGAATCATCTCAATCCGATGAACATGCAGAAGAAAGTCAAAAATCTCAAGAAGAACCATTAACCTCTGAAATACACGATGCTGAATCTGCTCATGCAATTGAACACTATGAAGGAAAGTTCGATACTGATCAATATTCTGAAAAATCTGATCAACAAGAAGAGGATATTATCATAGAAGTACCACAAAAAATTGAAGATCAAGACACAGAATCAAAATCATTCGTATCAAGTGAATATGAAAATGTTGAACAATCTCATCATGATAAAATTATGACTGAACCATCAGAAAAAATCGAAGAAAAACACGACGATCAATCAATACAAAAGTTAAGTAGTGTTAAATTTATTGTTGCATCGGCTCCATCATCTGAAGAAGAAGAAAGAGAAGGATATGAATATGGACGTGAATTTCATATTGAATCAACACCAAAATTCGATGAAGAAATTGACGATGAATATTTTCTTAAAATGTTAGAAGCAAAATATTCAAATCAACAAGATATTTCATCAGAACAAAAAATCAAAACTGATGAAATTATTATTCAATCTCCTGATGTAAGTGAACATGAAGAGCAACATGAACCAATTCCATCTGAATTTGATCAAGAAATTAAAGAAGAAAAAGCAGAACGTAAATCAAGTGCTGATCAAATCATTACTGAATCATTTCCTTTAATTGAAAAAGAAAAAGATGAAAATATTCTTGAAAGTTCTCAAACGATTGATAAAGAACCAATAGAAAAACAAATAACTGATGAAATTATATTTCAATCTTTAGAAACTATTAAACAACAAAATATTGAATATGAACGACCATTAAGTTCAGGACTTGTTACACTTACTTTTCCTCAACAATATGATGATGATACATATAAATTAAAATCTCAATATGAATTTGAACCAAGTTCAAGTGCTGGAAAATCTACTATTGAATCTTTACAAGAAAATGAACAAGATAATGAAATTATAACAGAAACTTCACCAACATTAGAATATCCATATGAATCTTCACCAAGTTTTAAACGTGAAATAATTGATGATAATTTTACTAATCTTGAATCATCATCGTTTCATAAAGAACAAGATGATGACAATGATGAAATTGAACATCATCAATTAAAACGTCCTCAACAATGGACACAATCACCATTTCAACGTGATGAAATCTATGGTGATAAATATCGACCTACTAAATATTCAATTGAATCACCTGAAACTGAACTTCAACAATCATCAAATTATAAAGAACAACACGTAGAAGTTGAATCACCAATAACATCTCATATTCAACGTTCAAGTGTAATATCACGTACAATTCCAGCTTATTCTGATGAAGAAGAATTAGAAGAACAAGAAGAAAATGATTTTCGTCCAACACATCTTGATATTTCTATACCCGATGAAGATTTATTGAAAACTTCAACATCTGACGAACAAATCTATGAGGAAAATAATCAATATGAAAATGTTCTTATTCAAACATCAAATGATATTGTTGATCAAATTTTAAATGATGCTATTCGAGAAACAACAGAACAAGATTTAAATTATTCATTATATCAAACAGCAAAAGACATTGTTCATGATGTTATAGATAATGTTCAAAAAAAATATGATGATGATATTGTTTCATCACAAATTGAAGAAGCAACAAGTGCAGATGTATCAATAAGTGATATAACTGATTGGTCGGCACTTGTTAAAACTACTCCTGATATAACAAATCAAGAAAAACCAACTCAAAGAACAGATAGTTCAAGCGATCATGAAGAAGGAAAACAACAACAAGAAGAAAGTCCTAAAGATGAATATACAATATCCGATGAAGATGATGTTGAAGAAAAAAATAAACTTGTTCCAACAACAATGGATCTACCATATTTATCTGTATCAGATGTTGTTACATCAAAATCAACACAAGAACTTGGTAATCTTGTTCAAGAATTACAAACACTTGAACAACAAATAAATGAAAATATTGATCTTCATCATTCATTATCAACATCGTCATCATCATCATCATCATCAACATCATCAATATCAGAAAATGATGAAATTCATCATTATGATTTAAATAATGCACAAATAACAAAAACAACATCAACTAATGAATTAACAAATCTTATTGCAGAATTACAAACAATTGAAGAACAACTTGAAGATAAACTTGATTCGAAATTAGAACAAAAACCTGATATACCTGTATCATCAGAATCTATACATGAACTTGGTAGTTTAATGAATGAATTAAATGATGTTACAGAACAATTACAGGAACGTTTACAACAAGAACAAACTGTTCAATCAACAAATATTGATCAATTATCACATGATATAATTAAATATCGTCGTGATTCACAAACCAATGCATCAGAGAAGTATTCACATCGTACAGAACGACGACCATCAAGTCCACCAACATCACCATTATATAAACACGAATTTGTTCATGTTACATGTCAATCTATGAGTGATGTTGATCAAGTTCAAGAACAGTTACGACATGAACATGAAGAAAATGCAATTTTAAAAGATATGATTAATACAATTATTAATCAAGCACAACAAAATATACAATCGGGCGTAAGTTTTTTCATTTTCAATCACAAACTAAAAAAAATTATCTTCAATTCCGATTGTGGTGAGATAATTCTGCATCTAGATTTTGACGTCGTCGATTTTTGGAGATGATCCTTCTGAGTCATGTTTTAAAAAATATGTTAATATTTTTATTGTACTTATTTGGCAACTGTTTTGAAGTTCCATGTTGAGTTACATGAATTTTCAGGTCGCAACCAAGTTTATTTTATTAGTCTTCATAAAAAAATTTATTCCTATGAATAGTTAATATACTTCACTGTGTTGATTGAGCAACTGATGTCTCCAACTAGAGTATTTCAACTGCAGAAATTCATATAATAGTTTTCATCTATTAATACACAATGTCATTTGTTGCAATGCAATTCGCTGAGAATTACTTTTTAATTTAAATGAATACTAATGAGTACTACGGAGTATAGCAAACATTCATGGAACTAAAACTTTCGATGGAAATTAAGGAGACAAACTTGGGCTTATCTCTAGTCGAGTTCCTACTAGAGCAGTGCACAGGTAAAACTTTTTCGTATCCCTATCCGACACGCGAGTTGCAATATTCTAGTTTCTACCTAGCAGATCGACATGGCTGAATGACTATGTTGTTCGGCACGTATTCTATGGATACTGTGTTTAAGCCTAAGTACTATCAGCCATGAAATGATCCTGAGCAAGTCACTGACGGCTTTTTATCTCGATTTATCCATCTGATAATTTGCTGACTAACGAAACAGTTAAGTGCAAGAATTCTGCGTCTAACTGACCTTTGCCAAGAGCTACAGCTAGTCATGTTTTCAGGAAAGATAGTGTGTTTGATACTAGGTAGCACCCTACACAGAAAGACAAGGGTATGCTTTCTTTCTTCCTATCAATCAGCGAGACTAAAACAAAGTTCATATAGTTTTATTTAATTGTTATACGAATTCAAAAATTAAAAAAAAATACATTATTTCGTATTTTTAGTTACCAGAAGTTTCACAATCAGCTCTAAAAGCTGTTCCAACACTTGTTATTAATCAACGTCGTATGCCATATATTCAATCATCAGCTACAAGTATATCAGATGAATTAGATTTTTCTCATGATGATAGTACCGGTGATAAAACAAGTGAATTAGCTGCTCAACTTGATTATCTTCGACGTATGTCACGTTATGAAAATTTACTAGATGAACAACATCATATTGAAATAGTATCAAATGAAACTAATCGACGTATGCATGAAGATACAATTATTCATATAACACCGGATGATGATGAAAATGAAATCATGTCAACAAATTATTTAACTATTGTTCGAGAAGAACAACAAGCTTTAGATGAATATGATGAAGATCATGATGAAGATAAAGATAAAGAAAAAAAGAAAAAAACTAAACGTAAATGTTCTGAAGATGATGATAAATCTTTATCAGAACATCATGATTCAGACGATGATGATGATCATGATCATGATTATAAAGATAATAAACCATCAATACCTTTACATACAATTGAAACTATTCAATCTGAATCAAATCAACAATCAACACCAACTGAATCAAATCAAAAACAATCTCAACAACATCAACAACAACAAAAAGAACAAATGGAAATGAGTCGCGATTCCATAAATGAATTAATGATAATGAGTCAAGATTCTCTTAAACAACGTTCATCTGATTCACTTGATGCTGAACAAGAATTAAAATATCTTCTATCCAATCCTAATACATCAACAATATCAACAAATGAAACTGATGATTTCATGTATAAACAACATACAAATGAACCAACACCAAGTCGTATGATGATGAAATATGATGAAGATGATACAAATGATATTCGATCAACAACAAAACAATATTCATTAATATCAAATGAAATTGAAATAGGACAATTACCTGTTATACATGCACGACGTACAGCGAGTGAAAATAGTCTTTTTAGTACATCATCATCATCAATACATATGTATGATAGTCATTCATTATCAGCATCATGTTTAGTTGATAAAGATGATTTAACACCATCAAATGATTATATTGATTATCAACAAACTGTTTTCTATGATGATTCACAAAAAAATCAACAAATTTATCGTGAAACAACAACAACAGATGATGATAATCAATATAATAATTTAAATACAAATATAACATCATCACCAACAACTGGTATTGGTTTTTTTGATCGTGTTAAAGCATTTGTTACAAAACCAGTTGAAATTGTACAAGAAGCTATGGAAAACCGTCGTAAACAACGATCAACATCATCATTAAGTAGTAATGCAGATTTAAATGATAAACAAATATTAGATAATGAACAAAATTTATCTTCATCACCATCATCTCAACAACAACAACAACAACAACAACATTTTCATTCAGCATATGATTTATATGATGAAGAAAAATTAAAACTTGTTCGTAGTCCAGAATTATATGATATGGATAATGTTAATAGTTTCAATCAAAAGGTTTTATTAACAAATTTACAAGCACAAAATCGTACACAATCAGAATCAGCATTAGTTATAGATGATTTAAAACATCATAGTATAGAAACAGCAAGTAATGAAGCATCTGAAGAATTTTTACCAACTATATCAAAAGATAATTCATTAGAATTTATACAACAACAACAACAACAACAACGTCATTCAACACCTTTTGATGATGTTATGGAAAAAGAATCAAGTTCAGAACATTCAGAATCATATAATATACCAACATCAGCTTTTTCTGATGCATTTGAACCAACTAGTAGTTGTCAAAGACCATTAGCACTTACTTTACCTGGACAACAACCATCATCACCACCACTACCACAACAACAACAACAACAACAAACTATTGAAGAATCAATGACTGAAGAAGAATTTGATACACTTGCTGCTGATTATGTTCATCAAGTATTAAATGATGTTGTAGCACAAATGATTGGTGAACATGATGATTCTTTAAGTAATAAAAGTGATAAATTAGTAGGTAATGATACATCATCAGATGATGATGAAGATGAACTTGTTGAAGCAGAAGATGAAGAACAAAATCAAAATCCAATACCAACTGATACAAGTTCATTTAGTGTTAATGATCGTTATAGTGCTGATGAATCATCCAATACACGTGAACAATCAGCTGATGAAGAAACTTCAGCACGATCATCAACAACAGCAACACCAACAAAAACTTCATGTCATAAAAATATATATACTGAAGATCTTATTGATGAACAAACACCAATTATATTAAAATCACCACCAATTGTTAGTCATGGTTCACAATCAGATACAGGTACATATTTTAGTATAGTATCACCATCAAGTGGTGATTATGTTGATGCTTATAGTACTCATTCAACCATTGATGATGATAAATTAGGTCTTCAATATCATACACAATCAAATTCTAGTCAATATTTAACAGCTAATGATGAAACACCAAATTTATTAACATCTGATGATAATGAATATATTAATGAACGTGGTAAAATAAATTATGCTTATAATGATTCAAGTTCAGATGATAATTATTCAAATAAAAATCGTCAAGAAAATTTTATAATAACAAATGAAAAAATATCTGAAGAAAAATATTCCGGTGAAGGTGAAGAAAGTAGTAGTGGTAATCAAACATATGTTCAACAACGACGAAAACGTTCAAATGAACAACGTTCTTCATTATTAAATGATTTAACAACAAATACATCAGAATCAACTACAACAATAATACCACAGCCAACAACAAAAAGTGTTTCATTTAAATTAGATTTAAATGAAAATTTTCAACGTTCACCACGTTTATCAACAAGTAGTGGAACAACAATACCAAGACAAGAAAGTCTTGATTCACCATTAAATGATTCAAATGATAAATCAATAATAAAAATTTTACAAGATGAAATTCTTCGTAGTAATTTAGAAACAATTAAAAATGATTTAGAATTAAATTATCCATATGATAGAGAAATTTATCCATCAACATCAACACCAACAACAATACAACCAACAAAAAAAACTTTATCATCATCAGAATATGATGCTGGAAGTGAAAGTGATCAAGATTCAATATTAGTTGATTCAATTAAAACAACTATACAAGAAAAATTAAATGATATTTATCATGATAAAGAATCATTTATTGATAGAATTAAATTAAAATTTGAACGTTCATTAGATCGTTTAGTTGAAAAAACATTAGCTGGAGAAGTAAATACAAGTAAATCAGATATAATATCACCATTTACTGATCAAAGTCTTGATCGTTCATTACCAACAATAGCACAACCATCAACTATGATTCATGCGCATAGTGAACAATTATTACAAGCATGTCCAGATGAACTTGACTATGGTACATTACAACGTTTTAGTTCTGATAGTTGTATAATAATTCATGTACCTGAACAATATACACCATCATCAACATTATTTTTTGATCAATTAAAAACTGATCAAATAGAAAAAAAATCTTCATCAAATCAACAAACATCTGCATTTAGTTATTATACAAAACAAGATCATCAACAACCATCAAGTAGTCCAATAGAAATGTTAAATCCAACAAATGAATTAATTGAAAATATATCACCGATTAATCGTTATACACCACGTTCATTAGATGATTCATCAGTTGAATTAGGTGAACGTGATATGACAGATATGTCTGATGAATTTGTTTTAGTAAAAAATTTATCACCATTAACAAATACAAAAGATATTAAAAATGATACACCATCAAATACATCATCAAGTTCATCGGAAAAACATGAAAGTCCTGATTTAATTGATATACTTCAACATCAATGTGATTATCCACCACTTGATACAGGTTTTGATTTACGTTCTGGTACAACATTAGAAACTGTTTATGAAAGTCCAGAATTACGACAAGATGAAATTAAATCAGCTATAAGTACATTAAGTTTAACAACAACTGATAATAATCGTCCATATTCAACAGAAAATAATTCATCAAATACACCAAATACAGATGATTCATTAATGGAATTTGAACGTATTGAAATGGAATTATTAAAAAATACATCAACAACAAATATTATTGATATTGTACGTGAAATACGTTCATCTGTTGATTCATTAACACAACAACAACATGATGATAATAATAAAGTTGAATCATTTATTGAAAAACATTATCCAACAATACAAAATGATGTTGAAAATGTTCTTAATGATATACTTGATATGACAAGTGATTTAACACATTCAATATCATCACAATCAGATGCAACAACAGTTATATATAAATCTCAACATCATTCATTTGATGATGATTATGTTGAAATAACACATGATGATATTAAAAATCAAGAACGAAATTTATTTTCATCGGATGAAGATATTCTTCATAATCAAACAACATTATCTAGTCATGATAAACGTCGTTTATCAGCACCAAATAATGAAAATATATCAAGACGTCTTAAAACACCATCATCAAGTTCATCATCATCATCATCATTTTCATCAACATCTCGTTCTGTGATATATTCTCAACAACATTCACATCCATCTTATCAACAACAACGTTTATTACAAGCTGAAACAGATTTAGCTAGTTTTAAACAACATCAACAAACACAATCAGCAACTGATTTACCATTTTTACCTCCATTTGTAAATACAAATCCTATTAAAAGAAAAAAACAATCATCATCAGTTTCATCAACACCAACACTTTTTCCTACTGAAATAACTAGTGGAGATTCTAAGAAAAAAACTCATTCACATCCCGGTTCGTTAGGAGGTAGTCAAGTACCTCCTCGGTCATCATTAATAAAAGAAGAAATAACTTCTTCTCCTATCACATCTGTTTCTCCACATTCTTCTTCTTCTCATCATTCGGATGATTGTTTTTGTACGGATCCAACAACAACAACTAGTCATCAACATTAAATTTTAAAGTGGTAAAAAAAAATATATCATTCTCTGTTCTTATACCACTTTCTCTGTTGTAATCAGTATAGAGAACTTCTTATTGTGTTTAATTCACTAACATCTAATGCTTGCTTGTTGTGTAGAATTGTGCTTACATATTGTATATCTTATATGTATAGATATCTATATAAATATCATTAACGAAAAAAAAATATTTCATTAATTAATATTCATCTTTTTCTTTTTTTTTTTTCGTTTTAGGTAATCACCATTTTTTAAGTAAGAACAAATTCAAAATACAATTATTAATTTAATATATGTATGTAACTTGGTATTTTATTTTAGTCTTTGATGAAAATTATATTCACTGAAGGGCGATCTTCTATTTATTGACTGACATTTTATTCTTTTAACTTTGTTGTCGTCAAATGGCTTCGATTTTTTTTTTGTTTTTTGTGCGCTTGATTAACAAATTTTTTTCTTGTCTTTTTGTGCTTTATACAATACGAGCATATTTGATTGAACAAAATGACGACAATACATATATTTAAAATGTGTTAAACACATCTTATATCAAAACATAAGTCATCTTATAATTAAAAAAAAACGAGATTTCTCTCTCTCTCTCTCATTTTCTCTTCTCATTGCAATTATTCTCGTTTTTTCTTTTCTTGTATTCTTATTATTGTCGTCCTACTACAATCGCTATTGCTACTATTCTGCTTATTTGATTTTCTTTTCTTTTTTGTTTGTTTTTTTTTCGCTGTGTCTTTGCTTCACTATATATGTTCATTGCATTATCATCATTCAGAAAAAAACAAACCCAAATAAAATAGTCTATGAACAAAAACAAAAACTTATTCTTTTTTTATGTATAAAAAAAAATTTATTCACAAAAAAGAAAACATTATGATGTATTGTTGAAGTTGAAATATTAATCCTGAAAAAAAAGTAACAGAAGAACATAAACAAATTTACTTATAGAGAGTTAAAAAAGAAAAGAAGAATAGATTGTAACAAAAGTAATTAATACCTATTACATATGTGATTGATTGGTAAACTAAATAATAATGATATAATTAAATTTTGAATTACTTTCGAAATATAGTTTAAATGTACAAATCAATTAATTTACTTGTGGAGGATAAATGTATAGATCTCGATGATTAATTGATAAGGGTATATTTGATTGATTAGCTGCATCTTTGAAATTGACTAGTCGATAATGTAATTCAGCACGGCCAAACTAAAATATTATTTTAATCTATATGAATAATATTTATTATTGCGACTTGATATGATTTAAAAATACGTCGTTAGATATTGTGATAAAATTGAAAATAGAATGAACATAAGCCAGACTATTTTTGGCAGTGATATAGAAAAGGATTCAATTTTTATTATTGTTTTGTTTTTCCATATCACTATCAAAGAAAATCGTCTGGTTTATGTTTGTTTTGTTTTCACTTGTATGGTAAGTCATTTATTATTATTATTATTATTTATGTCTGAAATAGAGCTGGGCAACTATGGCTTTTCTCGAGTACGAATACTAACTAGAGATGTGCAAGGTCACCAGCAAACATTTGCCGGGATCGAAATTTTAGTATATAGTACAATATTCTATGGTTTTAAGCAAATTATCTTATAAATCATATGCATCAGAACATAATTCAAGAGAAGATGATTCAAGGAAGTGCTTGTCAACTAAATAAACCAAGAAAAACATGGTACATATTCATACTTGTTCAGCGCGATTCTGACAAATATCTCATTGAGATACTTACCTTTCCTTGTGGCACATGATTGTTTTTGGATATGCAATATTTCAAGAATAGCACATTCTTTTGGTATGAAATATTCAGAACATTCTTAAGTTCATGATACCTATCTATGGGCAAAATTTTAGATTGAAATTGGATGATTCAATACTTTCATAAATAATTCTTCAAAAATTAACAATTCCATAAAACTGTAATGGCTTACGAATGAACCTTGATAAGCTTTTTCTAGTCTCGTCAGAAGTTACGTACAAGCAAAATATCAGTTCTATTGGCAAATCATACCCAAGGACTCTCCTTCGTCAAACATTTAGATGATTTACAAGATGCATTGCACTCATCATCAATATATCCGTACAAAATACTGATATGAATGAACTGAAAACATTCTATTTGTGAAAATTAATCATCCATTGTTGAAAGAAGAGGTCAATTAATGGTACTAGCACTTAAAATATGTAAAAAACAAACTTATTTAGTACATTTGATTTAGTTAAATATGAACATATTTAGTTATAAATACAATACAATCATTACTATAACTAAATTGAGATTCGTCGATGAAGTTTTATCAAGACAACAGTATTTTTGTTTTTGATGAATTTACATTACATTTTCCTCAGAAATCTTCCCGATATGACAAAAGAGCAAGGAATTGATAAATCTATTACAAATCCGAAAGTTTATCAAGTATCGTATCTCATTTTAGTGTAAATTAACTATGTTACTTCTCAACGGACAATGAATTCACTTACTGTTGGCAATGTATTAATACTAGGAAAACTTTCATTATGTAAAATAGGTAATGATCTTAATGGTACTTTCCATCGACCACTCAATAAACGATTCTTATGGTCAAATAATGGTAATTTAGTCCAAGCATTTGTACGTAATGGTTCATTTGGATTTTGTTTTGCTGTTGTTTGTATTTCAATAACAACTGATAATGCTTGCTGTGGTGGACAACTAACAAATAGAAATATTAGTTAATCAATAGACATTAAAAATAAAACATTAATTCTTTATTAATAAAACCTTGGTACAGGTTGTCTAGTAGCAAGTAAAACAACACCCATTTGTTCGCCAGATGTATGATTAATATATAATTCACATCTGAATGTTTCTAAATATGATGGTTCACCAAGTCCTGATTGTGCATGATGAAGACATGTTATAAGTCGACATTTTTCAATTGTTGGATGAAAATTAGTAATAAAATCAAAAAGTAATACAAAACCAGCAAATGGATCATATGGTTGTGGATCTAATGGATCCAATAATTTATTCGTATTCGACTTAGAACGATTTTTTGATTGAATTCCACGTGATGTTATATCATTATCAAGTATAGGTAATGATGATTGATAAAAATCTCGACGTTGATCAAATGGATTATAATCTGTATTTGTATAAATTTGACGAGAAGATGTTGGCTTTAAAGAACTTTTTGGTTGATAACGATCAATGGTTGATGATGGATAAGTATAATCATTTCTATTTGATTTAGGATCAAGTATTCCATTTGTTGCTAAAGTTAATTCTAATTGTCGAGTACCTTATACAAAATAGTAGTTTAAAAAGTTATTTTTAAAGAAAAAAAGTAAATAATAAAATACGTGAATCAAGTCTTTGAAATTTATGTTGCATATCATTAAGTTCAGTTTGAAGACGTTCTTTTTCATTTTTAACTAATGTTAATTTATCAGGTGTAGGTTCAATTAGAAGAACTGGACGATCTTTAAATAAAAATAATCAAAACAAGCGAAAAAAAAATTAGACTAATGTCTATTCGAGAATTAAAGATACTTGGTTAAAAATTGAATAACTCAAGAACGGTATGGCTTAGCGATTTGTCGTTTTCAGCATACGAAGAGCACAGTGGTGGACACTAGTCTATATATGATACGATGAGATTTAGCAATGATGAAGGTTAGAAAAATGTGAATCTTTGAAAAAAATAGCATGAACTCATAGTCCATAGTATCATTTTGTTCTTCTTTTATATAGATTATAATGATGGGCAGTCATCTATCAATAGCACACATCATCCAGATACAAATTATTTGATAGTCGAAAGTTTGAAGACCAGCATGAAGAATTTATGCAGTCCTTCATTGAAATATTCTAATAATGTGAAATTTCTCTTGAATAATATATACATATAGGTTATCAATCCTTCTGAAGCGAATGACAAGAGTCAATATGGATCGAGAAACAATCTAAAGTGCCAAATATATCGTATTCGAGCATATCGACAACACTATTAACATAATATTTATAGATTAGACTTTTCGCATATCATTTCAACATTTTGAAATTAAAATGCATTGATATTGAAAATGAAGAACGATTATTTATCATTTATAGTGCAATGACCTTCTTATTGCCAAAAAAAGGAAACTCATCGAATTCCATTTCAAAATCTTAAATTCGTTTGACATTTTATTTAGATCGACGAAGTAGCAATGCAATTTGATGTTGAAATTGTTCGTCTACCAACGAAACATTGTGGATTTAATCCAATGGAGCACGTATGGGCATAGTTAAAGGACTACGTGAGAAAAAACCAATACTCGTTTTCGTCTTAATGAGATATACAATCTGGTTGCAGAATTCATTGCGGGTTTTGATGAAGGCGCAGCTTACAACGCCATTGAACATGCTCATCGGATTGAAAATACTTTCCGAACTGGTGATCGTTTTTTTGAAGAAAGAGTTGAACCTGATTTGAAAGATATAGATTCTGATACTGAAATGGAACTCGATAATGACGATGAAGTTTAGATCCTTTTCGTTAACATCTTTTTTGAAAACATGCTAAAGAAATTGCCAATAATAAATTTGTTAATAAAAACCTAGTAGAGACAAGACATAATAAAAAAATATGAACCAGTTTTAATGATCGTTCAGAAAAGTCTAATCTATAAATATTATACTAATAGTGTTGACGATATGCTCGAATACGATATATTTGGCACTTTAGATTGTTTCTCGATCCATATTGACTCTTATCATTCGCTTCAGAAAGATTGATAACCTATATGTATATATTATTCAAGAGCAATTTCACATTATTAGAATATTTCAATGAAGGACTGCATAACTTCTTCATGCTGGTCTTCAAACTTTCGACTATCAAATAATTGGTATTTGGATGATGTGTGCTATTGATAGATGACTGTCCATCATTATAATCTATATAAAAGAAGAACAAAATGATGCAATGGACTATGAGTG